CCTTTCGTATAATTTACGTAGTTCTCTTGATTGAAGTTCTAAAACTAATGTTTAGGTATGGCTTTGTAGAGTATTTCGTGGCGCATCTTTTAAAAAAAACACTAATATTAGGATCCTAAAGGAACACAAGAAAAATAGAAAATACTAAGAGGCTCATTCATTATGACGCACTCGATAGAAACTTCCATAATTCTACAGCCAATAAACATCATACGGAATATCAATTACACTCATAAATCTAGTTTTTGATGGGCTTTAACCTGGTATAAATACTTTCTGATATTATCTGTCCTTTAGGTCGTGTAGGGGGGGAGAAAAAGGTTATGTTACACCGTGTATAAGTAATATATTTAATCATTAAGTTAATAAACTGAAAAATGTGTTTTTAAGGTGAATAATTTAATTAGAAATAAAAAGATTAATCCTACGTTTTTTTTCATTTTTAAACTAACCAACTTTATTGAGACGTTTCATTCTTCACTCAGAACATCAGCAGTCAAAATGATCCATGTGTGCGTCATACAGTGTCATAGTAAACACTGTATGACTATTTTACTTAACAAAATTTGTTTATTTATCAAAGTATATATAATATTTTGCTTAGAAAATAAAATTTTTGTTTAAAATTTAAATAAAATATTCAGGAAAAAGATAATATTTTACTTAGCATTTAAATGAGAGTCAATTTTAAGTTCTGAGCATTTGTTAGTTTTAAGCTGTATTCATCTAACAAAGATAGTTTTGTAAATGAATAATTGACTAAAATAAATTTGTTCTTTTTATTGTTATTTCTGATTTTGTTTTAAAATAAAATAGTAATGCAACAAATATATCGTAGCCACCACCGCAAGCAGAAATAATTCCTGTTTTATTCGTTTAATCGGCCATTGAGTACTTTTGCAGTAAGTTTCTGTTTGTTTCATTCTATGCAAATGACAGATATAACTTTTCGTTCTTTTGTATGAAATGCCGACCTTCTAGATCAAATAATAAAAAAAGGTACACAACAAAATTTATTTTCGATTATGATCAATCGGCAAGGATAATGAAAAGAGCGAAAAGAGCGAGTTTATAACCACTTATAGTTAACAACGTGTTTGAATAGTTAAGTACTTAAACACAGTTTCATTGTATTTCTGACTTTATGATCATCATCTTCGAAAGTATATAGACTGTCATTTCCAGTCAAAACAGATAATAAAAAAAAGTGAAAAAAATCCTGATCATGCATAGCTGATCAATGAATCTTAGGTGTTTTTTGCACAGATAGTCTTGACAGCCAGACTATATCATTAGTCTCAGTGTGTATTTTACACATGTACGTCATGTGTTCTAGACAATCACTGGGAGTTGACTTGGCGTTCACTTTCACTGTGCCATTTGCACGCTTGTTGTTTTTACAGTGTAACAAAACGTTCTTTTCAAGATTTGTCCATCGCTATTGACCTATGTTTATAATGACCGAGATATAAATTTTTCCCGAAAGACCTATGAAAAACCTGTCATTTTTTAACTTGGTAGCACACGTATAATAATCTCTGACACAAAAACTGGTTCTCCTTGAAAATCGCATCTAAAATTTACCGGTATCAAAGGCGTGAAACGTTTGTGTCTCAGAAATGGGTTCAAGTCTCATCTTTCAACGTATCTCTGTCTGAAGGAAAGCGAACTGTTTTAGGATTCAACGATGGTCGCAAAACACTTTTCAAATATATCATTCGATAGAGAATTTGACGGGCTACAAAATGATATATAAGATAGCCTTAAGAAAATGTAAATGAGTACTCTCAGATTCCAAAATACTCGGTAGCATCTCAGCGAATTGATAAGTCAATGTCGTTCATGTTTATAATATCCATTGATTTTGTCGTTAACCACCCTATTTTATATATCATTCGATAGAGACTTTCATAGGCTTCAAAATGAGTTATAAATAAGTCTTTCAAAAGTATCCCCGCATGGGTCAATAGTTGAAATACTTGGCCGATATAATGATTTTTATCTACCTTAGTGCTTGTAACACTGCTGGTTCTGTTGTTTATCTTTCTCTGTTTCTCTGTTTTTGATCTTTCAGTAAAGGTTGGAATCAATCTGAATATTCTTTTGAATAGCCTGAAGATTTTTCTATCATATGAGATGCGTATTGCCGTTTCATGAGAAAAGGTGATAATAGGGTTTCAGGAAAACCTGACCGCTAGAAAACCAAGTCCTTGATTTTTAGCCAGACAGTTTTCGAAACCATACAGCCGGATAGAGCATAGAATTCTGAGAAAAATAAGACATCTCCGGGTGGTCTACAATGCTTTTTCACTGGATTTGTTTGATAGTTTGATAGTTTGTAATCATCCGTAAATCGGCTGTAGTTGCGTGAAGAAGCATTGTAAACCGCCCGGAGATGTCTTATTTTCTCAGAATTCTATGCTCTATCCAGCTGTATGGTTTTGAATTCGAAACCACAGGCGGCAAAAACAGAAGAGGCTCAGTTACATATCACTATTAGTTCTGATAAGCGAGCAAAAATAATAATTTAACAAACATTTTTGTGTTAATCACTCTTAACCTTAAAAAACTTATTACTACTTAGATATGCACCTTTCCGCGGTTAAGTAGGTAAATATTTTGTGAAGACTAGATTTAACGGAGAGATAAGAGCGCTAAACTGGATTACAAACTTTTATCAACACTAAGCGCATGATTCTAAAGTACCACGTCTTAATCCGAGTTTTGGGTAGCCAAATAAATTTTCATGATTCCACTTTTGCCCACAGCAATCGTGCAATTTTCCGACTAACTACTAGTTGAATTTTAGTTTTAACTATTAAATTTTCTAATGTTATGCTTTGTTCATTTTGCGTTACAAGAAAAATATATATGTGCGTGAGGATAACACAGTGGGCAATCTTGACTAAGCACGTGGACATGAGTTTTGAAAGCAGGCCAAACGTATCTAAACCATTATTCTATAGGTTTTCTACAACGCTCTTTCCACCCGAATGGTTTTTGAGTTTTAAAAAAGTTTCTCAAAGGGTTTTCCAGAGATGGGATCTCTCCAAACCACTTCAAAAACTTTATCAGAATTCAAAAACCATTTCACTGGAAAGAGCATCGCTGAAAACCTGTATAAAAATATTTTAGAAGCGTACATGATTTTAAATCTTGACTTTTAAATTTTCGAGCAAAAAATTCTACGGGCCGATCCCAAAATCTAAGAATTCGATAAGATTCAAAAGTATATGTTTTTAACTTCAGATTAGTTAAAAAGCACTTCAGTACCTACTGAAGTATGCGTTCGATCCTTTATTTTGCAAAATATCTTGTCTGTCCTTTTCGATTTCTACGAAAATAGTGAATGACGACTTCACAAAATAAATATTTGCATTCAGATAATAGTGTCATCAAACCCACTTCAGAAAATGCGGCAACAAAACAGGTAATGATGTCGGACATAATAGAAATAGAAAAATAAAAAATAGTGTACGTCTGATAGTGTAACTTACAACGCACGACGCACAATGCTATTCTTTAAGAAACTTCAGAGAGTTGATATCAACTTTTAACAAGAGATTTCCTTAGTATCTTGTCAGGTACTAAGGAGTTGTCAGTAGATGTAACGATATATCTTATAAAGAGTGATACGCAATAAAAGGTGAACTAAGCACAAAGAGCAGTGGCGCGCAAACCTGCATACACTTGAACGAGGTAGATTGGCGTCTAAAGAAACGTATGTGCAAAACTTTAAAGCAAGAGGTTCCAGAAAACTGAATTATTCAATGTTTATACAAGGTCAGAGATGCAAACCAGCCATTCTCAGAGCAAAGTGTACTAGGAAATAGGACGTTGACAGAAAATATGTCTGTTTTTCTCTTTGTAGAATATGTCATCTGCAGCTGTTGAACCCGTTTCAACTGTAAGCCAATTTCAAGATGGCGGAAGTTCTAACAGCAATAACCATCAGTCAATCAGCGATGCGGATCAGCTGGTAATAGATAGTATCTACAATTACTGGTTTGGTGAAAATGTTGATACATGGTCAGAATCATATCCACTGCCAACACAATTGTGGTTTGAAACTCGACTTGATACCGATCGACAGATAAAGGAAAACTTTGAAAAATACTTAAACGAAGCAGTTGAATCGTATTTAGAGAAGGATGCGAGCGGAGGTAAGCTAGGAAGCGAAGCAGTTCAAGAAGTCAAAATATTTTGTCGGTTTTCTCAGCAGTTTTTATTCACAAAAAGGCTTTACACTTATTTTTCGAACAATGGAAATCTTTTTGACTCTCGAGTGTTTGTCAATCTTCAGCTTGGATGGATGGTAAAAGGGATTGAGATGTCTTCATGTATGCTTGCAAATTCTTCCGGACAGAGACATTGTTCATAAATATAACTATGAGAACCAGATAAGGCCAGCGCCAGACGGATAAGGGAAAACAGCCGCTCGTTCAACTTCTACTGTAAGTGCGCACGAATTGAGTCTATCTGCAGTTACATTATTGATTATGTCAGGCAATGCTTATATTTATTCATTCGCTTTAAAAAAGAATGTCATTGGACAATTACATCGTACAGCATAATGACACAATGTGACTGAACAATGATCATTACATTATAGGAATGTATCAACGATGGAAATCGAATATTCATGGAAAATTAACGTTGATTATATTGTTTGATCAATTTTCAAGAAACATTTATCGTGGTACAGCTAGAATGTTTGCTTATGATCACCTTGCGTTGGAATTAGCTCTGGAAATAATTAGTGAACATTCCACAACATTATATAGTCCACCCGAACGTCTGTTCATTTATTTTGCGTTGTTGCATTCAGAAAATTTATTACACACATCAAATAGTATCCAGTTCATCGATGATTTAGTTTTTTCTTTCAAAGAAGGTGGTGATGGGGAACAGGGTAAACGATATGAAAAGATTCGTCGAGTATCAAAAGTACATCACCAGATAATTAAATCGTTTGGGCGCTATCCGCATCGTAATAACCTGTTATACAGACAATCAACAAAAGAAGAAGAAGAGTATTTGAACAGAGAGCAACATGATTTTATTCAATCTGTAGAAAAAATAAAATAACAACATGAACAACTAGCATAGGCATAGATGACGTTGCAATGTACTAAAGCATTTGATAACTTAAACTAAAATTTGCTATAAAACTGATTCTCTTGTTAACGCCTATATGGTGAGGTAATAAGAGTAAGATGAAAAAGTAAATATTTTCTTAAAATGGTATCAGGCTTGACTAAGTACAATTGTTGAAGTCCTCTCTGCTGGTACATCATATAACGAAACTAATACTGGTTATAGTTCGAGCCATATATTTTTTTAACCACCTGAGCAATCATGAAAATGGGACTCCCAGCGTTGTAGCCACGTCATATTAAGTTTTAATTTCAAAGTAGATTTAATTTCCTGAAGAATTAATAAAAAACAACAAAATTATCAATGCTAATTGTTATGCCTGGGAGGCATTTTGCACTGTTTCAATCGTAGTCCAGGCTATCCATACTATTTATTCTTTAGTATATGTATGTACGCATACAGTTATATTTACTATTTTCTCTTTTCTTTCTTTGGTATGATCCAATTCTTCCTTTTCTTCCGTCCTGATTTTACTGTGAAAATACCCGTTTCGTTTCACTGTTTTTTTTCGATCACTCTTCTTCGTTACTTCGTGTGATGTAGAGTGTTCTTTTTTTATATATATGTTTTTTTTTCGTGATAATATACTGTGAGAGGATTAGTGATCTTGTATGTCCAATGAGCTTTTATATCATTCACTGGCACTTAGTTAGTTCTTTGTTAGTTGGGCTATAGGACACGGGTCTTAGGAGCTCATTCATCCATCTGATATAAAGCATAACATAACAAGTGGGGGGAATACCGTTCTTAAACCAAGTACATGGTAATTTATTCTATACGTTTAAACTTATTGTCATCGTTATACGTTGGCTTGGCTTAATACTTAAAGAAGGTCGTTACTCATCAAATATTGTGGATTATATGTTAAACAAGATTAGTATTAATTGAATTAAGGTACGTAAAATGTTTCCTTAATAATTTCTTTTCAACGAAGAGATAAAACAGAACATCAGAATTACTCAATCAGCAGTGTTTACCGCTCTTTCACAGAAGACGGTATCTAGAAAAGGTCATCTAACAAATTGCCATTTGTTACCGCTCTGTATTTCGGAGACGGTGTAATTGAGTTAATAACAACACCACTCACTAAAAACTACCACTTTACAATCAGGAAACGGTGTATCCAACGAATAACACCACAAAACAGCAAAATTTACCACTCTGTCGTAAGAGACGGTGTCTCACGTGAGAATCAAGGATAATTCAACATTTTTTATCACTCTCTTAACGGGAGACGGTGTCAGATAGTAAATACAACAAATAATACCATCTTTTATCGCTCTTGTTACGGGAAACGGTGCATAAAACAGGTAGCTAACATATGTCACACGTATCATTTCGAAATACCCGATCAAAAACTAACCTACAACAATTGTCAATAAGCGATATTCAATATCACCCACCACCGAAAGCCTTCAAGAGGACAACATCGAGTCTTTTTTCCATTACCAATCCATAACCATTCAACGTCATCAAGTTTACCCTCAATTGTAATCAACCTCGACCAAGAGGAAAAACGAGATACAATGGACAAAGAACAAGAACAATTTGAGGATGATAATAAAGTACAGTTAGAAGCGTTCAACACATCATTTCAAACAACAAAACAAATTGAAAAGCAACTGCTCAACAAGATTCCACAATCGAAAAATCCAGCAGTAGGATCAGAAGAAGTCGGTCAATGACTCAAGTCAGTTGAAATTATTTTTAGTAAATTAAATTATCCACCGCTATGTTGGCCTGAAGAATCATCCAGATATCTACCAGAAGATTCTTTAAAAGAATGGTATACCAACAACAAAGCAGTGATCAATAATAATTGGGAAATTTTTCAAACACAGTTAATTCAACATCTTACAAGTCCGGAAGATCAAAATGAAAACACCACACAAATTACCACACAACATTCAACAACCTGCACTATCCTAAGAGATGGTGGCGAGAATGACGAAAAAGTATACGATGATTTTCTTCGTAATAATTTTACGAAATTTTCGGGAGGAGAAACCGAAGATCCAGAACCATGGTTGCTTGAAATCCTTGCAACATTCGAATCACTAAAAGTTCTAGAATCAGAGTGGCTTTCATATGTATCCGCGTTGTTAATACTGAAAGCACCATTATGGTATGGCAAACATAAGTCAAAATTCAAGGATTTTGATAATTTCGTGGAAAAATTCACAATAGAATTCCGTCCTATTGAACGTATAGCTGGTAATCATACACCCACAACAACATCAACTAGCGATCATACTACTACAACAACAAAGAAGCATCCACTAGAATTCAGTTTAATTAAAACATACAGTGAACAAGTAGTTAAAAATTTAAAGAAATTTAGTGATAAAAAGGAAGAAAACGTCATGAGGTGGCTCAATGATATGCAAGTTCAATTTGATGCCAATGGTTTGACGAAATCAAATTAACAATTCTACCAATAGTTTTAGTAGATAATGCATTAAAGTGGTATGCAAGACACTCAACATCAATTACATCACGGCAAATGTTTTTGTAATTAGTTAAACAAGAATATGGATCAAAATTTAAACAACAACAAGCGCTTGAACGTATGCATAATTACAAACAAACTACAACACAGTCAGTAAACGAATTTTATCATGGCATTTTGGACATTTGTCGTGATTTTGATCCAAACCAAACGGAACCACCTGGACATAACCAAACTAATCGAAGAGCAACAACAAGATCCAGTAATCCAGAAAAAGATTAAAGAAATTCTGAAAAATCCCAGTAAACGTCCATACGAATTAGAAGACGGTATTTTTTATCAATTATTGTCTAGAGATTCTGGCAAAACGAAATCGAAACTCATTTATCTTCCACAAACAATGATTGAACCAGCTCTTCGTTCTTACCATGACCATCAGTCGGCAGGTCATTTTGCCGCTCACAGAACGTATGCAAAAATGAAATACAAATATTGGTGGCCGAATATGCAACAAACAATAACAAATTATATAGATTCGTGTATTAGTCGCAAACAGCATAACTACAGCAGACAGAAGAAATCCGGTCATATGCATCCAGTTCCACCGCCACAAGGAAAATTCCAGCTAATCGGGATAGATTACTGCGGTTCATTTCTCTTAACGCCACGAGAAAATCGTTATATTTTATGCATAACCGATCACTTTTCTAAATGGGTAACGGCTATAGCATTACCAAATTGCACAGCTCAAACAACTGCCGAAACACTATACAATGAATATATATGTAGGTCTGGTGTTCCATCAGTTATTTTATCTGATAATGGTCCGTCCACATTTCCAGAACCAACTAATGGCAGCGTTAACACAACTTATATATATTCATATCCACATCCATATATATTCAACTGCTTACCATCCGTAAACCAACGGCACCGTCGAGCGGTTCAATGCAACATCCGTCCTACAGCTTGCAAAGCTACGGGACCAGGAGTCAAATAACTGGGACGAATTTCTACCATCAGTAGTGTTTGCATACAACACCGATCAACGTTTTTCGACCGAATATAGCCCATTTCAATTACAATACGGCCAAGATCCTCAGTTACCACCGGACCAACCTCCGAAAACGTTTAGCTTCAATAAACCGTGTGATTACTACCAACAACTTCAAAAGAACCGTAAGATTTATCATAAATATGCATGTGAAAGTATTATTCACCTTCAGCAATTATCCAAACAATGTTATGATCGCAACCGAAGAGATCCTCATCATCAACTTGGAGATTTAGTTTTAAACTGGTATTATGGAATGCAAAATAAATTAGGTGAAAAATTTTCAAGAGTTCCGTCAGAATCATCAAAGTGAATCATCCGATATACTGGGTGGAGGACGTCGAAACACAGGCGGTGACACGAGTACACGTTAACGATCTACGACTTGTGCTTGAAACAAAATTAATAATAACAAAGTCCACATCAGCATCTCCCATCAAGTGCAAAAATACAACTGTTTTATTTATGAATACTGTAAATATTCTGTACCAGCTTCACTAATTCAATAATCCACTAACAGCTAACATCTTTGTCTATCTAATAATTAAATTAATTATTTAACCATATACCATAACATCATTCAACCATTACAAAATTTAATTAACATGATCACCATTTACAAATCTATTTTGCACAGTTGAGGAATCACATCTAAGGCAGGAATTGAGCAAGATAGCAATGGTAATTTGTTATATCATGTGGATTAGAAACAACTAATTTGAGGGTGACTGTCTTTGTAAGACGCTCAGACGACTGAGCCGAAAAACCCACTAAAAAGTCTTTTCTTGCTTAGGGTCAGCATGCTTCACAAGATAGAATCAATATATTTCAAGGACCAACGTTAAAAAGATGAGCAATATAATCATCTACCAGCATTTAAGTTATCGGTGGGGACGGAGTATTTCCGCCCCACGGATTCATTGAAATTGCTGTCATTGACAGTTCCATCATTGAAAAAAAAACCAGAAGTGTATCACCTAACTGCCCAAACATCACTTCAAATTATGAACGATTTAATTGAAATATGTACCTGTGTCAAACAGTACATCATTGATACAGAAGGTGACATTGACTCACACCAACCTTCGCTCATCCAAATCATGCCAATTAAAGATATATCACTCCCAATCACCGTGTTGTTGATTGAAACGGAATTTTTACCATCCATCCCAGAGTTTCGAGAAAAATTGGAAGAATTATGTGCTCGAGGACATCGAGAGAGATAAACAAGCTGACAACAAATACTGTACATGTCAACACAGACCCTATAAAAATCCTGGAAATTACAGAGGGCATTAGCAATACAATTTGGCTTATATTTGCCGAAAAAACATACCTGCAGCAATTGGGGAGCAGGTAGTGATCTTCCTTTAGGAACTTGGCGATTTGATAATTCCACGTTACGACGGTAACAATATGATATAAGAATAGAAATGGTACTGTACGCGATATATGATGTAATATCTGTGTGGTTTATAATGCTACAAAAAGAAATGTATGCATCCAACAAGAATATCGGAACAAAATTGTCAACGGCTGAGTTAGATCCTCTTCCATCGGATTCATTACTAACAATAACAACAGCCACACGTACATCATCTCCCCTAGAAGAACATCAAGATCGAACAGTAACTTTAGGACTAGTAATTTCTACACCCGAAATAGAATAGGTAACACCATCACCAGGCTGTAAAGATATTCAACAACGCACAGTCATCATCCGTAACATTAATCAAAACACATCAAGTCCATTTAAGTCAACTCAACCAACACCAATAGAATTGGATGAGGGGATGCCAGTTGGGGACGGAGTCTTTTTCCGCCCCACGAACCCTTCATCAGATCAACGGCCAGTCATGAATCAACCGCGTGATGCTAACAAGCATCCTAAAACTTCTCTATCTGCTATAATTCTCGGTACTTCAATAATGACCAACAAACGTCCATCATATGTCATTCTCTCTGATAGCCATCTAAAACACATTCCGCAACAACATTACGATATTTATACCATCGCAAAATCTGGATTACAATGGATTGATCGATATGATACACAAACATCAGCTCAATACAAAGTTGCAACCGAACACGCCAAACTGATTTCCACGCGTGACACCATCGTATTGGCAATTGGCACTAACACCTTACGCCATACAAAGTTCGTTGATGCTATTGAACAAGTGAAAAATATCATTAGCCTAATTCGAAAACAACACCAACATCTCTCATTCCCATCTCAAATCATCGTCACCCTCTGTTTCGCATGCAAAAAAGAATCCGCAAAATTCCCAACAGCAGCATCACTAAGTGATAATATCGATCAATACAATCGATCATTAATAAGTTTGGCGGCGACATCACATTTCACTGTCATTGATTGCGGAATACAAGAACAACATATAGCAAATGACAAAATCCACATCAACGTTAAATTTCGCCATTTGGTTTTCGATGCCATCCTAAATCAGCTTGATCACAATCACCTGTTACCATCACTACTTATGCCACCACGCTCAAGGTCTCAATTTAAATCGTCTTCCTCAATTTTATCTCCTCCCTCATCACACTCACTTCCCTCTAAAACACCAATCATTGAACAGTTTGCAGCACCATCCGCCGCTCCAGTACCTCATCATCATCATTCAGCACATCAGAGATCAAAAACTCGTCAATCCAGTCATTGCAAGCAAATGAAAAACATAGTATCATCAAAAAAATATCAGGCAAAAGATTATGACATACGCCTTCACAGAGTTATATATCACAAATTCAAGATCGGTGAAATTAAACAAGTGCTTAGAGGATTAAAATTGCGATGGAGAAACCTCAATAAAAAATTTGTCGATGGCAAGTGTAGAAAACACTTAGAATAGTGCATTGAGACTGAAAGAGTTCTCAAATATGAGATTCAGCGGGTTTATATAACCCTGGTGACCTTGGATCAACTTCTAGTCAAAAACAAACATTGTCACGTTGCTCAGCACATTCAGTAACCTATGTTTCAAGTCTTTCCGAGATCTTCGGACGTGTCCGGACCGAGTAAGCGTGGTTTCCGAAGAACCATTCTAGCTCCGGAACCTTGTAAGCTAACGACCTGGGACTGCTCTAGAAACGAATATCTCAGTCCGGGCTACCTGTCTGTCATCTCAAAAGTTAAAATCCGAAACTTTTTCAGTGGTGTGACATCTTTCGAAAAATATCTTTGCAGGGTGCACCACCTGCGGGGGATTTTGGGACAATAATTTTTAGTTTTTCTTATTGCCCCAACATTTTTCTTTCGACTAGTGAAAACCGCAGCTCCGTAGCTACATCCTAGAAAACGTTATTAAACAAATGGCCACGGTCTTTCTTTTTTGAAATGAATAATAGTCAGTTTTTAAAACCCAGTAATAGTTAGTATTGTTGAATTATGGATAGACAAAACAATATCGCACGACGATGTAAACATTTTAAACTACAATCCATATCGTCTACACAGAAATACAAAAAGCGGCTGATGTATTCTTTACATTCGTTATAATATACCAGTTTATAAACTTTTAGATGGTATGAATTTGGAACAATGTTCTTTTCTATAACATTAACTGACGTCAGTAACGCGGCTTGTCCACGTAACGCGACACTTCACTGATCAAGTTTATAAAAAAAATTTTCGCTTTCGAAAATTTTGAACACATCAGTAGATGTAATTTTTAATTCTAAGGACCCGTTTAAAACGCTTTTTTGATAAAAATTGGTTTTTGAGTCTCAAAACCGGTTTTTGAACATTTCAAAAATCGCATTTTCTATTTTTAGCTGAGATAGTTTTCGAAAAATAAATTTCTGAACATATGGTTTCGTAGAAAATTTAATTCTCTACAAAATGGCGTATTTAGTTTTGAGCTTCAGCCCTTTAGAAAATTTGTACATTTTCCGACTTAATTTACAGTTTTTGACCCTCCAGCCCGAGGTAGCGACTTTATTCTTCCGTATACCGGCTGACTGTGGCACGAATAATTATCTGTATAATATCAAAATCTCCTGATCATGTTAAGTCCCTTGAAAACACTAGACAAAAATAGTGCGTAACACCGTTACGTTTATGTTTTGATGTTTTTGCCTTAACTGAAGATGTTGGAAAAATTCTTTTTTTACCATTGGATAGCCATTTTACTTTTTTTTACTCTTCATCTCTTCTTTCTCTTTCATTTTTTTACTTCTTTCGTTTAGTATTTCGATGTGAGTGTGTAGAATTTATACAGTCAGTCTTTATGGGGATATTATGGTCCTTATTGTAAACGTCATTTATGTTAGTCTTCTCTCCTCTTGGATGACTGAATGATAAAAGAAACTGAAGTAAAAATAACTGTCTAGCTGGCTGACTGGATTCACGTAAGAGACAGAGACTTTCTAACAGATTTTACCACAGTTAACAGTAAGACTGCAGAAAAAATACAGGAAAAACAGGACAAATACGAAGCCTGTAATCCACATCACCATTCTTTTTTTCTAGAGCTTAAATATTATATCATCGTTAGGAAGACGACAAAAGCCACAGAGTATTTAAAAACGCAAGTGAAACAAGTATACAAGGCACATTAAAACAAGGCCTATATGTTTGAATATCTAATTCTCTTTACGTTTTCCGTACTTCTTTTGCACAAATGTGTAATAATATTGGAGAAAAAGGAACGAGGACTCTAAAATAAATTGTAAGTTCGTTGGTGAACTAAGAGATATCCATGTTCTTTTTTTATTCTTTGTCACACTTAGTGTTGAGAGATAGGCGTCCAGGTAGATTTAAGTTAAATCTACTCGGACGCCTATTTCTCAACAGGAAGTGATTTAAACGGATGTATAAAGTGTCCATAAGGTAAACGCCGAGTAAAGTGTTTTCTGCAACATATTATACACTACTAGACAGCCTGCGTCGAGCTGACTAAAAAGAATACGCTTTTTAACTTTTCGAAACCGATTTTCCATGTTGAAAAATCGAAAATACTCGAAGGGTCTTAAAAGTCGAAAAATCCTTCAAGTTAGAAAAACTTCGAATTTTTTCCTTATTTTCCTGTTTCTATTTTTAAAACAATTTTTTTTCTAATTTAGCGTCGACAACTGAATAGAAAACTAATATTTGATCAGTTCCAAATTTATAATAATGCTTATCCATCATAGGCGTCCCTATCTGACGGTCTTAGGTGCGACCATACAGTTTAGTAAATGTATGTAGTTTTTTGTGTGAGTCATTGAAACATTCATTTGCACTTCATTAAATTACCAGAGAGATCAACTTTAAAAGTATACTTCGATTTTTTAAAATTTTGTTACTAAGAAAATTTATTTTTTCTAAATCTGAGGCGAAACAGTCGGAATTCGCAATTATCTCCAACAGAACTCAACTTCTATATAACAGAAATATCATACTCGGAATCAGAATCAACAGCTAATTCGACTGATATCTCTATTCTATCCGAGTACTTTAATTTTTTCGAATTTTGAAATCGTTTTAAATTCGTTTTTCGAATTTTTCAACGAATTTTGAAATACACATCAGTCACTGCTCGTTCAGCATTGAAACTAGTTCTTAAGGCATAACAGAGAAACCTCATTCTGTTTTATTCAAAATAAATAGACAGAAAGCTCGAAACTAACAAACCAAGTAATCATCGTCCGCCTTCTTTGCTTTCTTCCATCGGTTAGACTTGTGCCATCCGAATATAATTTTTGCCACTCGGAACTTCTGTTGTTTCTAATCCCTGTGGCCAATGCTTTTGGATTTCTTCAGCTTTAACATTTGGCGGCACCATCACTTTTTCCCCAACCTATAAGGAAGATGCTTTTGTGAAATAATCTGTAGAAATGCAGACATACTTACTTTCCAATTGGCAGGTGTGGCACACGGATATTTGCTCGTACATTGTAATGCATCAATCAATCGGATAAATTCTCTAAAAATCAGTGATAAGAGTGACAGAGTGAAAGTAAAACTGTTATTCCTTGTCTAGTGCAAAACATCAGTCTCAATAAAGAAGAAGCCATTTTATTAGACTTTTTCTGTCAATCGAAATTCACTGAAATCCGATGCTACATACGTACGTGAAATTTCGACCACATTCAGGTGGATACAAAGTACTGGCTTTCAGTTTCTTATCTGGACCAATGATAAATACCTGCAAAAGGATAAAATTATAAAAGCGTGTATATTTGATTCGAGGTCGGAAATTGGACATTAGTGGAACATACACCACGAGCTGCCATTGGTAGACCGCGTGGGTGGAATCGGTTATCGAACTCGTCGTGTTCTCGTATCATTCCTAATCGACTGGCAATTGCACGATCGGCATCATCGATGATTGGAATAGAAATATCTATTTTACTAAATGCTGCAACATCCTATACCGACAATCGCAAATTTTATTCATTATCAAAATACGAAATACCGAAGCAACATACTTTAACCCAGCCATGATGTTCTTCGACTGTATCACATGACAAATCAATCACTTTGACATTCCGTTTTTCAAATTCAGGTGTCAGTTCTGCAGCTGTTGCTAATTCTGAGGTACAGACAGGTGTATAATCAGCTGGATGCGAACAGAATAGCCCCCAACTATGTTATAAGAGAAGGGGAAAAGGAGTAAGAGAGAAAGAGATAACAGATTGGCTCACCTGTCTCCTAACCATTCATGTAACTGGATTTCACCGATTGTTGTTTTACATTTAAAATTCGGAAATTCATCGCCAAGTTTTAATGTCATGGTTGCTGATTCAAAGACAGAAAGAAGGAGTCGAAAGGCGAGCTTGAGTGAGTCTAAAAATGAAGATATAAAAGTAATAAAGCAGTCTATCGCTCTCTTTTGTGGTGTTGCCCGCCTCTGTGGCTAAAGTCCTCCTTTATTGCTTATGTCCCCTATGTGCAGCTTATTAAAAAAATTAAACCACTCGTATACTGTCAAGAGTTGGACCGAGACCTTCACCTGTTATCGTTCCTGGTGTTGTTACTCTTTTTCTATTTCTATTATGTCCGACATCATTACCTGTTTTGTTGCCGCATTTTCTGAAGTGGGTTTGATGACACTATTATCTGAATGTAAATATTTATTTTGTGGAGTCGTCATTCAATATTTTCGTGGAAATCGAAAAGCACAGAAAAGATATTTTGCAAAATAAAGGATCGAACGCATACTTCAGTGGGTACTGAAGTGCTTTTTAACTAATCTGAAGTTTAATTTGAACACAAATACAAAACAGGTTAATATCGACATAATGGCGAACACAGAAGAGGCTCGATTATACATCACTATTGGTTCTGATCATTTCTGGATTTTGTACAGACTCACAATCTCGATGAAAAAAAGAAATTTGTGTTCTATTTCTCGACATAAAGCCTAGTGCTGAATCACTGCCATATGAGTATAAGAGTAGTTAAAAATAAAATTGAAAGAATGTTAATAAATGCATTTGAGCTTGTAGAAATAGTAGATCCTGAGTTAATAGCACGAGAAAAAATATAACTTGAACTGTAAGTAGCATTGTAATATTGTCCATCATTAGTCGCGTTACATGGTGTGCCAGCAGGGACTACTCCACCAACCGTACTTAGTCGTTGAATATAAGTAACCTGTCCAAATGTTGAACCATTTTTCGCATCTGTTGCTTGAATGAGTACCAATATAACGGCTTTACCTGGATTATGATCATATCTTTTAATTGGTTTGCCATAAACATAATCATGAAGTGTATCACATATCGTCACACAATTTAAATCACAATAAGTATAGCGACAGTTCGTACCTAACAGCCATTCAGCAGATTCAATACTATAATTTTGCATTAATGTATGCGGATGAAAACCTATAATAGGATTTTTAGCCGGTTCTTCGTCATCAATATTGTACTGATGTAAGTCACCTTCAGGGTGATCCATTTCCCATTTATAGTTCTCAGTGACATTATTGTATAAACATTTGTACTTTTGAACACCATCTGCATAAAGACGATAAAATTGTTCATGACCTGATGGTAATTCGACATTTGTTTGATTATCAGGAAACGGTTGTGAGAGAACATTAGTATTAATCAGGAAACAGACAACAGCAACAGTGAAGTAATAGTATGACATTATTTGATATAAAAGTAGTAAAGTCGTCTTTTGCTCACTTGTGTGGTATTGTCCTCCTCTGTGGCTAAACTCCTCTTTTTATTATTTATATCTCTTATGGTTATCTTATTAAAAAAATAAAACCACTCGTATGTTGTCAAGCGTTAGTCGATCTTAAACCAGGACTTTTACCATTTATCGTTAGCGATGTTGTCACTGTTCTTCTATTACAACATCATTATCTATTTTGTTGCCGTGTTTTCTTAAGTGTGTTTGATGACACTATTATCTGAAAGCAAATATTTATTTGGTGAAGTCGTCATTCACTGTTTTCGCCGAAATCGCCTTGCACAAAAACATTCGTTGCATTCTGTTGAATTTTGACATTTGATGAAAAGGTGATAAATGTCATGATTATGAATATATATATAAGTATGATATTCCAGTGACATTTCTTTTTTGTTTCTCCCTCTTTTTGTTAATACAGAATAAATACCAGCTATTTAAGTAGAATACATGTAGATATATAAACGAATACAGTGAGTTGATATGACTATGAGATAAGTCTCTTTATATATGTGTTTTTTGTATGTGTTTTCTCTAAGAACAGATCTCACGACTGATTGAATTCTGTCAACTGTTTCCAGCCTCCTGTAGAAGACCGGTTCGACTGGATTCTTGACTTGGATTCTTACGAACTTATTTCGAGAAAGATCGAAAGAGACTTGAAATTTGATTTCTGACTTCTCTAACAAATTTTCTTTTTTCTTCTAATTGATCATGAAAGTGTTCCAAAGAAAAAAAAATAATGCGAACTTATTTTAATGTCACATTGTGCTATTAAATCAGGATCTATTTCTACAAGCTCAAGTGCATTTATTAACATTCTTTCAATTTTATTTTTAACTGCTCTCATATTCGGTTGGCAATGATCCAGCACTAGGCTTATATCGCGAAATAGAACACAAATTTCTTTTTTTCATCGAGATTGTGAGTCTGTACAAAATTCAGAAAAGAACAGAACAGTGATATGTAGTCGAGCCTCTTCTGTGTACGCCACTATGCCAATATTAACTTGTTGTCTATTTTTATTTACACTAAACTTCAGATTAGTTAAAAAACACTTCAGTATATCATTTTCTATCAAACACACTTCAGAAAATGCGGCAACAAAACAGGTAATGATGTCGGACATAATAGAAATAGAAAAAGAGTAACAACACCAGGAACGATAACAGGTGAAGGTCTCGGTCCAACTCTTGACAGTATACGAGTGGTTTAATTTTTTTAATAAGCTGCACATAGGGGACATAAGCAATAAAGGAGGACTTTAGCCACAGAGGCGGGCAACACCACAAAAGAGAGCGATAGACTGCTTTATTACTTTTATATCTTCATTTTTAGACTCACTCAAGCTCGCCTTTCGACTCCTTCTTTCTGTCTTTGAATCAGCAACCATGACATTAAAACTCGGCGATGAATTTGGGATTTCTGAAATACCATGTGATCAGTAGGAAGTACTAGAAGATTAGCAAATGGCCACATTTGACTACAACCGTAGGAGGGGAAAGGAACCGCTCTTTGACCACGTTATCTTTCTTGCTTGTTCTTGTCAAAAAGCTTGAATTAGCTTAGACTTATGTGCAGTTTTACCAGAAGTCTCATACCACATAAAACGCTGTATACGGTAAATGTTCTAAAGAAAGATTATTTTGAAAAGACAGAACTTTTTGCAGAACGCTTACAAGGAATGCCGTACTAGGAACGCGACATACCGTTTTGTGCAGAAATGTTTGCCCTTCAAACTTATATTTAAACCAATATTATTACACTTCCTCTACTGCGGTTGCATTAAAGTTTGTTAAAATTGATGTCTTCTTTCTTTGTACAAACGCAGGTTTCGAGATTATCAATGAAACATTAATAACTGAAACAAAGGATTGTGAAAACTTTTTCAAAAGGTTTTGCAAAGCTTACTAAATGTGCAATTTCAAAGTACACATTTCAATTCAGGAGAAAGCTTTTCTTAAGCAGAGAAATGAGTTTTAATTTTGTGCCAAGGCTTTTGTAAGAAGGGTGCGTTGACTGATAAAATGCCTTTAAATAAACGTTGATCAGGTTCTCAAATGTTTTCATTTGACCATTATGTGTTAATTTTGATAATTCGGTTAACCGAGTTGTTACGATATCCTCATTATTCGTTGTTATTTTTTTAACCAAAGTTGTAGTTTGGTTAAACTTTGACAGAGTCGATGTCCAGTTGATTGTTTCACTGATACCATGTTCTTAATTATCGTTGATAGTGCTTCATCAAACATCGAAACATCACTATTTAATATATTAATTGTTGTGTCAGTATGACTGATTTGTGTCAACGTAATTTAGTGAGACCGTGATGGATTAAAAAGCAGAAATTTGCTTTGGCTTTGAAGAGTATCAGCGCATTGTGATACTGCTAATTCAGCTGTTATTGCGCTTCCAATGACAGGTACGGTGATTTGAAACTCGATCCACGACTCAATGGCATTTATGTCGGCGTTTTAACGATGGTAAAACTAATTGATATCATATTTGTTAAATCATTCAAGACAGAAGACCCGTATGATGTGGTTCTTATGACGGAGAACGATAAAGGCGACTTCGTTAGTTAGTTGTGATGGAACAAGCCTAGTTGACTAAATCTGATCGTAATTTTCGTATATTTCTTCTGTTCGTGATACCACGAGTAAAACGTTGGTTGTGATTATCGATGATAATTTTAATTTTTCTGGCTTTATAAAACGATACTGCTGGTTGCAAAGAAATTTCCTTCTAAAAGAGAAGTGCTATCGGTGCCCTTATTGAATTAGTCACTACAAGTTTCGGTTTATCATTGAACGTTCGCCTATTTTTGGATATTCCTTAAATAGACGTGATTGGATATATACATAATCCGTTTTTGTGTTGCTTTCTTCAGAATTTTTCCAAAATGGTTAACTAACATATCGCATACAACTAGAGCTGGGAAGCTCCGACTCCTCCCGGCTCTGGTTCCACCCCAGCTGGAGCCAGCCCCAAGTTTTTCTGTCCGACTCCTCTCCTAGGATTTTTTCAGTCGGCTCTGACTCCGGCTCCAAGAAATGTTCATCTTTCCTTGTTTTCCTTTTGCTTGAATCTTCTAGGCTTTCAAGTAAGGAATATGAAAATGAAAATCGTTTTAAAGTATAAATAAACTCTATAATGGTATGATATATACATAAAAAATCTTCTTTCGAAAGCGTTACATTTAATAGAAGAAGGTCAAGACTGAGGTAGCATATATTAATGTGTCATCAGCGCACACACTCATATAACTATCTGCCGTAAGAGTGTCACTTTTACCTTGATCGAACGCGTATATCATCAATCGCACACCGGCTCCGGCTCCGTTTATAAATGGAGACGGCTCCAGAGCCAGAGCTACCCAGCTCTGCATACAACAAACATAACATATTTTTAATGAAACTTCGTTATCCGAAATATAGATATAATGCTCATCATTGAAAACAGAAATTAAAGCTTTCTTTAGTTAAGTCTTTTTCGGCTCTCTTAATCTAAATCATCCTTACTTTCAGCCATTTTAGCATTTTCTTTCTAACGAGGGAACATTCCCAAGTGAGGCACTTCGATTTTGTTCCAACCTGGTAATTTATATGTAATCAAGGGCGCCGATTACGAATATGATAGCCGTTTGTGCCCATAGACTTTTCCTAGCGTTTCTCTGGAGAACCGGTTTTCTAGAAATCGCCTGAAACCCTAGCAATGTTTTATCAACATGTTGGGATTGTGGCCTGGAAACGTTGCATCGAAATAAAACGCTTTCCAGCTCTCCACGACCTTTCTTTGCAAAGTTATAGAATTTATAAGAGACGCTCTAAATGTTTATTGTTACCTCAGAGATATGGAAAGAAAAAGCAAAAATAATTTAGGGCTTTTCTTGTAAATTCTGTAACTTTGCAAAGAAAGGTGGTGGAGAGTTGGGAATCGTCTATTTTGATGTAAAATTTTCAGGTTACAATCCCAACATGTTGATCATAACATCCGGAAATCGCCGTCGCTGCGGATTCAGTGTTAAAGTGTTAACACTTTAACATGTACGAATTCGCGGCGAGTGAGGGTGAGGGTGGCGAAGTGGGAGTGAAGTGGGTGAAGAAGTGCTCCACCCTCATCGTCACGTCCTCACCCTCAATTATGCACGTTTATACTTTAACACTTTAACGTATAAGAATCCGCGGCGACGGCCATTTGCGGATGATGCCATGTTGATAAAACATTGCTAGGGTTTCAGGGGTTTCCAGAAAACCGGTTCTCCAGAGAAACGCTAGGAAAGGTCTAAGGGCACAAACGGCTATCATATTCGTCATCAGCGCCCTTAATTACATATAAAAATTGCCAGGTTTTAACAAAATCGAAGTGCCTCACTTGGGAATGTTCCCTCGTAACCAGGCAGTTTCAAGAAAAGGTTGAATTGGTTTAAGACCTTTTTCAGTAAAGCAAAATTTGTGAAGTCTTTAAAACAGCATATCTTTCCCAAGATCTTGTTTGGTGACCTCAGGAAACACTGGTATACTAGTTAACATTGAAAAATATACCTAAAAGAAACCGCAGAAAAAACAAATTTGAACCAGATGGGGATCTCGATATAACGTAGTTTAGCAGGGTTGTACTATTAATTAGTATTACCTCTTAATTGCTTAATTAATTACGCTAACGCCTTCAGCATGCTCAGGAGATACTATATTATTCCTGAAAATAATTTTGTAATACCTTAATAATTATGCTGTGATATGTTTATTTCCTCAGAGATAGTCTATTGATTTGAGCGAACCAGCTAACAAATATTCTCTCAAAACCTTTTAGTTTCTAGTGCGGCTACGATATATACCTTTTTGGTATCAAGACGAGGTCCTCGATAAATATATTTTTTTCTTTGCACGGTTGTGTTTGGTTCATCTTCACTATTATTATCACGTTCGGCGTTAAAACCATGTTTTATTTTTCGCCTCTTTCCTAAAAATTAGAAACAGATTTAGTGTGCTATAAAGTAAAACATTGGAACGCACTTCAGCTCACTTTTTCAGCTTTTATCACTTTATTCTGTTTCTAACTAAACTTGTTGATGGTGAATCCGATTGTGGTGAAGAATCGGAGCTGGACGAAGAGAAATAAGACGATGATGAACGATTTTCTCTTTTGTTGTGTTTGTGCGTTAATACACCAGGAGGGATTTTCATTGATCAGTATGACGAGACTGTTCACACATTGTATAGACAGAAAAGAAAAAATAGAAAATGTATTTGATGTCGGTTCTTTCTTCTTTTTATTCACTTAATGTGTGAATAGTTAATTGATCTTTATCTAGCAGATTCGTGGATTAGTTACATACAAAAGTTTGTACAAGATTCGAAAACGGGCTTCACGATTGAAGTTAGAAGAAACGGAGGAGGCAACAGCAAGCATACACCGGTTAAAAATCAATACTTTAAGTTATTTTAGCTTTTTTCGGAAAAAAATTCTATGAAGAGTATGGCATCTTAAATTTGTCTCACAACTGAGTTTTGTAGAGCAAACATTTCTCTATAAAATAAGCTATGGCGAATCTTCATCTTTTATCTTTTCCTCGCAATCTCCTTTCTACGAAGAGTCTATTTATCGGTTTCGGTTACATAACCGAAATTATTTTTTCATAAATGCTGGATCGAGATGAAGATTGCTCAAAAGCTTGCTCTACAAAACTCAGTTGTGAAAAAAAGTTAAGATGTAAAAGTTAAGACTCTTCGTACAACTTAGTTTTTGCGAAACAAGATAAAAAAAACAACTTTTAACCGGTGCTTATGATGTCTTCCTAGATTATACTGGAAATTTATTCACTGTTGATACTGGCAATCATTTACAAAAATGCATGTTGAAAATTAATGATGGTATAATCGTCGCCGATGAAACTGATACCTATCCTTGGGGAGTGTTTCTTAATAACAAAGACGTTTACGTGTCAGGAAATGGCATCAGTAGAATAATTAAATATTCGTTGAATTCAAAACTTGGAACGATTATTACTACTAGTTTAAACTGGTATCGTTGTTAATCCATACGGTACCGTTTATGTAGTAGATTCTGATTAATAGCATATTTTAAATTTTACAACTAATAGTTCCATAGGTGTAACAGTAACTGGTGTAAGAGATGAACACTCTTACTCGTTTTTTGTTCAAAAATGTTTTGTTTATAATATTGTCCACGCACATCCGTCGATACACAGAACAAACCTTGTGTATACACAATTCGACATGCTCTACAAATGAGACGAATCTGAAATCGCTTTTGATCAAAAACAGTTTTCACTATGGAAAACCCTTTTTCCGAAAAATGGTATTTCCAAAAAGTGGCATGAGAGTCCGGACTAACGAGTAAGATATCCGGAATCAGCATCGTCGATTACATATAGCTACATATGTCTTAAGGGGGGCCTCTCCATTTAGATTTTGCTCTAATGTTACAAGTTTTTAGAGAACACTTCGAAGTATATGTTCTGAAGTTTTTTCGGCTTACTGACATTACGTGCCTGAGAAAAAAATTGAGTACTTAAAAAAATATTGTTAAATTTTTGAACAAGGGACTAATACTAAAAATATTCCTATCCATTCTACATTCATCGTAAAGATTTGGTTCTTGACTAGATCGATAGAGAAATGTGTGGAGAATATTTACTGTGGGAAGATATGCAAAACGTTTTGTCATTTCCTTCCTGTTATTGACCAATTAGTACTAATTAACGTTAATTTGGCCTACTCTACTAGTATAAAGAGAGTATTCTCGTTTCGTCGACAAATCAATCACTTCAAAGAATATAGATCAGAGAACATCAGAAGCGGGAGGGGCGATGTGAGAGTGAGTTGTCGATGAAACAAGAATACTTCGCATAAAGTTCCATTTGTAAAATAAAGACTCAACGAAAAAATTCAAGCAATACTTCATCTAATAGGGAATTTCATGGGCTACAAGATGGATTGTCTTAAAAATTTTAGAATTCATTTTTCGCCACTCGGTAACTCTCTTAATTCGAAAATTTGGCAGTATTGTTTTAAGTAATTGCTTTCTTTCTCAGCCAGATAATATCAGTAAGCCGAAAAAACTTCAGGACATATACTTCGAAGTATCCTTTGCAAACTGGAACGACTTGAAGACAAAATGCAAAACTTGAAAATATCGCTGGTTTTGGGCTCAGCGAAGATTTTTTCACCTCACCTTACAGCTAGTTTCGCTCAAACCAAGCATTTTGAAGCAAAACTCTGGACACAAAAGTTGTTCAGAACCGACTTCGGCAGTCCCTAACGAGAGGTTATTTTAAAATTATCTGTTTTTGGCTTTTAAATTGAAAAATACGAACTTTAAAAACTTTAAAAACCGTAAGCTTTAATTTAAAAATCAAAAAAAGACAATTTTAAAAAACCTCTTATGCATGGATTGCAGAATTCGATTCTGAACAACTTTTATACCTATAGTTTTGCTTCAAAATGCTTAGTTCGAGCGAAACTAGCCCAAAGGTGAGGTGAAAAATACTTTTGGCTCTGAAGTTTCCTGGGGAGGTTAACGTTAAATTTCTGCGTCAAACTTCATTCGGGAACGATGAAAAGTATTTCTCCTTATAAACTTAATGTTCTCTATCGGACTACGCTAGAATCAACCTGTCATATCTAAAAATGGAGTTTTTATTGAAATTTTAAAAATAAGGGAAAAACCCGAAAAAAACTTTTTTTATCAAAAACTATAAATCCGGGAACTGAAAGCTTTGCTGAGACATATACTTAGAGGTGTCCTTTACAAACTGATTGAAAAAAACGGGTGGAGAACTTCCTCCTTAAGGAATAAAGCTCCTTCACTTTGGGAGATTTTCTTAGAAGTTATACAATTACTAGATAGGTATCTTGAAGTGATTTAGTGCAATTCAGTCAGCGAATGGACTGAATATTATCCATCGACGAGAATCGATTCCACCATATCCAGTATTAGTTCTGCTCTTCTTAACTTGAAAGATTCCACTTGTTTGTAATTTTTCTGTACGTTAAGTTTTATTTTGGAGATCTTAAAAATATAAGTTTTGTTATCAGCTTTTGTCGCTTGTCCGACCGATACATAATCAAAGTTATAGTAAAGAGTGAACAATAAAAACAACTTTTATCATCAACGGATATTTTCACAAGCTCAGTTTTACGTGTAGCTGGAGTTGACGAACAACTATGTGTAAATCTTTCATAATCACGCAATGAATGGTTTTCCTGCTCCCCTGTTACCTAGGATAATTAAGCCAATTTGACTTTCATTCGACATGCTCAACATCTAAAAGAAACAAGCTCTCCACACATGCTCGCCTTTGTTTGAGTAATAAAGAGTTATTTCCAAACTTTTCCATCGTTTTTTCGATTAGGCAGTTGAATTTGATATAAACAAACTATTAAAATTAAATCAGTTTTACTTAGTTGATTTTGTATAACGAGCGACATTTATTTTACTTTTATGCAACTTTCTTTCTCGGTTCCAATCTTTAAAAATCTTTTAAATCCGTTTCTGGGACAGCAAGAGCGAAACTGGTCTCTTAAAGTTCTTTCTTCGAGATCAGGATCATCTCCGAACCAAACTTGGCTCTACTTACACTGACCACCTTCCTACTAATGTGGATATCGTTAAACAATGCATGAGCCTAGTATGGTCAATAAGTGAAGCGACATAAATGATGTGAAAGAGACGTGAATATTCTCAATAATAGCCTACGATATGACTAATTAAGCTCGCGCAGCCGTGTCATGCGTAGGCCACTCGTCCACGTTCGCGGTAAAACTAGCTTCCCTCATTTACGGATATTAGATTGAAACAGAAATAAACATCAACTAGAGTAAAACATTTGAGAAACAAGATCAATTTTTGTATGGGCACATGTTCAAAACTTTTTCAAATTTTGAAAGTCAAAAAAGATAAAATTTTTTAAAGATACAACCAGGAAGAGAGCCAAAACTAGACAAACCATGTCATTTTCACTTTCAAGAATGAACTGTCAATGGGATTTTAAAGAAGTTTTGATTGTAAAAAGTTGTATTGATTTGAAAAAATTCGAAAAACTAGCGTAAAGTTCAAAACTTAACTTCTAAAATTAGCTGAGCTCTATAAAGTAAAGTCCGTTTTTAAAAGTTTAATACACAAAAAACCATCGAAGCGAAAACTGCACGCTGCGCTCGCATGGTCAGGAACTCTTGTGTTTTGGTGATCTCGTATTTTGTACGGACAAGATCATTTGATATAAAGAATAAAATTCAGTATTCACACTTTTATTATATTTGATTTACCGATAAATAAATATTGCAGCATATACGAGATCATCAGTTTCTAACATATAATTACTTTATTGAATTATTCGATATTTAACACAAAATTTTATATATTACCATAAGCCGCCCATCCTTATACTTGTCGTTTTTTCAATACAAACATAGATTTCTTACTTTTATCACCAAACACCATATCCATTTCTTCGAGAGTTTTCTGTTTTGTTTCTGGATAAAATAAGAATACACATGTTGCCATAATAACACAAAATATTCCAAATATCAGATAGACACCGTATGTAATTTTAGTTATTAGTACTGGAACGCAAAAGGCTATAATTAAGTTGAACAGCCAGTTAGCAGCTGTGGTAATCGATGTTCCCTTTGATCTCATGTTCATCGGAAAGATTTCAGCTGGATAAATCCTAGAAAATAGTAACTATCTATGAAGTGATGCGATCGCTATTCCAAATACATACCATCCAATGCAGCCCCAACTCATGGCAAATGCTGCGACGAACATATAAACGAAGACAATAATCGTATATTTGACAGCCTGAGTGTCCAGCAGCACAGTAACAGAATTAGAAGACTCTGAAACCTTTCTGCCATGTGAACCCATGAGTCCTCCCATTGTGAGCATGCTCAGAGCCATAACGGCA